ATTAACTCAGTAAAAAAGAGTGAACATGATACAATAGCATGCATAAACCTCAGAATAATTATGCCAAGTGAAAAAAAATGGATGGAAAAAAGTACACAGTACATGTAATTCCATTTATATAAAACTGTAGGAAAAATTAAAATGATGGAAAGCAGGCAAGTGTTATTTGAGGACTAGTTTTGGGAGGTTGACATGAGAAACCCTGGGGGTGATAGATATGATGTGTTCACATTTTTAAAAAATAAATCATATGTATTTTTTCATTTATTTATCTGAAAGGCAGACAGAGAAAGATAACTTCTATGTGTTAGTTAGCTCCCTACATGCTCTCAAGTAGCCAAGGCTGGGCCAGGCAGAAGCCAGGAACCTGAAAATCTGAGTCTCCCCTGTGCTCATGTGGGTTACAGGCTCAAGTGCATGAGCTGTCTGTCACCTGCTGCCTCTCAGGGTGCCCGGGGGGCCAGAAGCTGGAATTGAAAGCTGAGTGGGGGATTCCCAGGTGCTCTGATAGAGGATGCAGGTATTCTAAGTGACACCTTAACTGGTGTGCCAAACACACGTCCCTATTTTCTTGATTTTGGTTCTCAAGTTCTGTGTTGTGTAAGAACATATAAAATGGTGCACTTCTGTACATGTGGTTTACTGTGTGTCATTTGTTGCTTATCTTGAAAGCTGCATTGAAGCATAAGGAGCATAAAATTTTAGATACATTAATACAAGAATACTGCAGAAAGTTCATAGAAAAGTGGAATTAACAGAAATTATGTTTTCATGAAGATTTTGAAGTGCCCTCATGTTTTTCTAAGTTGATTGATGTGCAATTACTGATTCAAAAGTGATTACACTTAAAAAAAAAAAAAAGATTTATTTATTTATTTGAAAGGCAAAGTTACAGAGTAACTTTGGGAGAGAGACAGAGAGATCTTCCATCCACTGGTTCACTCACCAAAATGGCCTAAATGTCCAGAGCTAGGCCAATCCAAAGCTGGAAGCCAGGAGCTTCTGCCAAGTCTCCCACTGGGTTCAGGGGCCCAAGTATCTTCAGCTGCTTTCCTAGGTGCATTAGCAGGGAGCTTGATCAGAAGTAGAGTAGCTAGGACTCGAACTTATGCCCATATGAGATGCCAGCATGGCAGTGGTGGCTTAACCTGCTATACCAAAGTGCCAGCCCCACGAATACACTTTTTAAGTTTCGGATGGATATAGACAAATTGCTCTACAAAAATAATGTGGCAGCTTATGTATTTGAAAATGCCCATTTCTGCACTGTCTTCCTAGTATTAGGTAAATAGTCATTCTTTTCTTTCCTTTTTTCCAATCTAATAGGTAAAAATGAGATGGTGATTTCATTTTCATGTCTTTAATACGGTTGGTTGTCTTATGTACATTGGTTATTCATTGAGACAGGCAAACAGAGATCTTCTGTTAGTTCACTCCCCAAACACCCACAACACCAGGGCTGAGCCTGGCCAAAGCCAGGAGCCCAGAAATCAGTGTGAGTCTTCCACATGGGTGACAGGGATTCAGATATTTGAACCATAACCTTTTGCCTTCTTTGGTGCACATTAGCAAGAAGCTGGAATGGAAGCAGAGCTGAGACTTGAACATAGGCACTTTGATATCGGCTCAAAGTGTCTCTTCAGCTGAAGGATGTTAACTGCTGGGCCAGTCTCCTGGTCTCTGCTCATTTTTCTGTTGCATTTTTTTTTTACTATATATTTTGGTGCACTCAAAAATCTGACTTAATGAGTTTATAAGTGAAAGTTAATTTTTTCTGGATAGATTTTTAACTTCACTTGTGGTGATTCTTTGTGTCTAGTAAAGCCTCTAGGTAAATACTTCAGTTAGCATTTCCTGTTGGAAACTATGATGGCCTCAAGGAAGCCCTTTTATTCCATGGGTCCTGTTTGCCTCTGAGTTTTCCAATCTTCTACCCTTAGGGTTGTCTGTCTTGACAGAAATTAAAAATTGCAAATAACTAAAAAGTAAATTTAAAAAAATTGCAAGTTGAGAGTAAAATTAGTGGGAGTCAGCATGGGTGACATGTCTTTTTTAGTCATTTCCCCCTCCAGTATGTTTAGATGAAATCAGTCCCACTTCTGTCTGTGATTTCATTAGGGGCATCCCTCTTTACAACTCCTTACAGTTGACTAGAGTTGCAGTGAGTAGTTCTTCTATAACTATAGCTTACAAGGGAGCCCTTGGCCAGCAGCTCTGACTCAGAAGTAGGCAAGCAGCCGGCACCGCGGCTCAATAGGTAATCCTCCACCTAGTGGTGCCGGCACACCGGGTTCTAGTCCCGGTCGGGGCGCCGGATTCTATCCCGGTTGCCCCTCTTCCAGGCCAGCTCTCTGCTGTGGCCAGGGAGTTCAGTGGAGGATGGCCCAAGTGCTTGGGCCCTGCACCCCATGGGAGACCAGGAGAAGCACCTGGCTCCTGGCTTCGGATCAGCGCAGTGCGCCGGCTGCAGCGCGCCAGCCGTGGCGGCCATTGGAGGGTGAATCAACGGCAAAGGAAGACCTTTCTCTCTGTCTCTCTCTTCTCTCTCTCTCTCACTATCCACTCTGCCTGTCAAAAAAAAAAAAAAAAAGTAGGCAAGCATAATTGTTACTCTCCTTTATTTTTGCTTCAGCTAACCCACAGCCCACTCACCTTCAGCCTTCATCTTTTCAGTATGGGATTTTTTTTTTTTTTTTTTTTTAAGATTGATTTATTTGAAAGGCAGACTGAAGAGGACAGAGAGGGAGAAAAAGAGAGATCTTCCTTCCCCTAGGTCACTCACCAAATGGCCACAACGGCCAAGACTGGGCCAGGCTGAAGCCAGGAGCCTGAAACTCTATGGGGGGGGTCTCTCCTGTGGATGCAGGGACCCAAGAACTAGATGCCTTAACAGGAACTGGATCAGTAGCAGAGTAGATGGGACTCAGAACTGGTACATCATCGATACGGGATGCCAGTGTCAATACATATCACCTCAACCCGTGTGCCACGATGACATCCCCCTTTGTTATTTTAATTTTTTAAAGATTTATTCATTTATTTATTTTAAAGATTTATTTTATTTATTTGAAAGGGAGAGTTAACAGAGAGGCAGAGAGAGAGAGAAGTTTACCATCTGATGGTTCACTCCCCAAATGGCTGCAACTGCCGGAGATGCACCAATCTGAAGCCAGGAACCAGGAGCTTCCTCTAGGTCTCCCATGCGGGTGCAGGGGCCCAAGGACTTGGGCCATTTTCTACTGCTTTCCCAGGCCATAGCAGAGAGCTGGATTGGAAGTGGAGCAGCCAGGTCTCAAACCGGTGCCCATATGGGATGCTGGCACTGCAGGTGGTGGCTTTACCTGCTATGCCACAGCACCAGCCCCTAAAGATTCATTTTTATTTATTTGAAAGGCAAGAGTGACAGAGAGAGAGAAAGAGAGATAGAGAAATATCCTTTTTATTTTATAGCCGTAAAAATCAGTTAGAGGAAAATAGAAGAAGTAAGTGCCTGTGTTCAGTTTCCTGTCTTGATTGAGAAATAGATTTGCATAAAAAGTAATCTGACCTCCAGTAGGGGAGAAGATTGACAGGAGGCAAGTGTAGGTATAAGTAGACCAGTAAGCAAGAAGATTAATAATTTAAGTGAGAACGATTTGACTAATGGAGTAGTGTAAAATTTAAGGTAGTTTTTATTTAGTATATTTTTACTTTTGCTTTACATAGGTATTCTCCTATTCATTACAGTCTGAAATATAGACTGGCATTCAGTTTGGTGATCTGCACAAAATTATAATGCCAGATTCTCTGACTTGATTCAACTGCCTCTAAGAATGAAAGGGTTTCACATTTCCTTTTTTTGTTTCTTTTTTTTTTTTTTAACATGTAATATAAGGGACTATATATATATGGGACCTTATATAAAAACTTTCTGTGGCTTTAAGAACGCCCTATAAGCCGGCACTGTGACTCACTAGGCTAATCCTCCGCCTGCGGCGCCAGCACTCCGGGTTCTAGTCCCGGTTGGGGCGCCGGATTCTGTCCCAGTTGCTCCTCTTCCTGTCCAGCTCTCTGCTGTGGCCAGGGACTGCAGTGGAGGATGGCCCAAGTGCTTGGGTCCTGCACCCGCATGGGAGACCAGTAAGAAGCACCTGGCTCCTCCTTGGGATCGCCGCAGCACACCGGCTGTAGCGGCCATTTGGGGGGTGAACCAACGGAAGGAAGACCTTTCTCTCTGTCTCTCTCTCTCACTGTCTTAACTCTGTCAAAAAAAAAAAAAAAAGAGGGGCGCACATAATTGTGATACAGTGGGTTAAACCACTACTGTAGATTCCCCCCTCCCAAAGTGCTGGTTGTAGTATTGGCTGCTTTGCTTCTGTCTAGCTTCCTGCTAATACATCCTAGGAGCAGATGAGAGCTCAAGTAATTGGGCCTTACCACCCATGTGAGAGACCCAGGTGGAGTCCTGGCTCCTGGCTTTGGCCTGGACAATGCTGACTGTTGGGGCGCTAGGGGAGTTTTTCAGCAGATGGAAGATATCTTCCCCCATCTCTTGCCTTTTTAAGTAAATGAAAATGATTAATAAACAGATGTTTAAAAGAGAACTTTTTAGAGCTTTAAAGTTGGCTTCTGACACAATTCCATTTCGGTTTACGTAAATGATTCTGGCACGACTGTGGGTATTGAAAAAGAGGGAGGAAGGAGGGAGTTGAGGGACAAGAATGCTAAAAATAGGGTTCAGTAGCAGTTTTGAGAAAAGGCAAAAGTGTCACAGTGTGCCAGAGCTATTTTCATAATAGAACTTATAGGATTTAGTGGATTATTAGAATTTGCCTTGTCCAGTTGATACTGTTTTACTCACATGAACTTTATATTGTGTGGGTCTTCAGGAAGTCTAAAGAAGCAGCTGTTAAACTGAGTTTGATATTGAATGATTTGCTAGTTTATTAGTGAATTGCTAAGTGTGACACTAATGAAATTCACTGCTTTAATAAAAGCAAATTTATTTTCTGTCTTTTCAGCTGGAAGATGCTGGCTCAAGTAGTTTAGATAATCTACTAAGTAGATACATCTCAGGCAGTCACCTACCCCCACAGCCGACAAGCACCATGAATCCCTCCCCAGGACCCTCTGCTCTTTCTCCAGGATCATCAGGTAAAGCAAATGAGTAATGCCTCATTTCTTTCACACCTACAAAAAGAAATGTGTCTCAATATCTATATTAGTTGGAGTTCTCCAGAAAAACACATCAGAGTCTACTGAGTTAAATGTTAATTACATCTAAAAAATACCTTCACAGCAACATCTAGAGTGATACTTGGTTAAACAGTACATATCCTAGCCAGGTAGTCACATTAAAATTAACCATCAAAATAACGTATTTTTTCCTGATTGTTTTAATTACTTTTGTTCAAATACTGTAGTCAGTCTGTCTTAAGTAATATGAATACGTATGCATTCTCTATACTGTTCAGAACTCTAAAGTACCTATGTCCATTCACATTCTTTTCCTTGTTTTTAGATGCACTTACTTTCCATGTTTTATACTTAAGGATGCAAATAGTTTCAGAGTTCTTGAGTTTTAACCAAACTTTAATACTTTGTAATATAATGAAAGATTGGAACATTCCAAAAACAAGAATTGAGTAAAGATAAGTGAATTTTCAGATTGTAATTTTAACATGAAAAGCTTACTACCGTAATTTCCATGAGGTGTAGCTGTCTTCAAAATCCCAGTTTTACTAACTCCAAGCAGGTGATTGAATTGAGACTCATAGTATTGCATGATCAAAGCAGCTCCTAAAAGATCTACAGTCCATAAGTGGTTATGTAACACTTGTTTCAGTGTAAATAAATGTTATTTCTTTCTTACTGAATCAGACCATCTAATGTTTCTAGAGGAAGAATAGTGCATCATTAATTTTTTGAGTCATTTTAAAAAAAGATTTATTGTATTTATTTGAAAGTCAGAGTGACAGGGAAAATGATTTCCCTTTCTGCTGGTTCATTTCCCAGATGATCACAGGAAAGCTGAAGCTAGGAGCCTAGAACTTCATTTGGCTCTCCCATGTAGGTGGCAGGGGCCCGGGTACTTGTGCTATCTTCTGCTTTCCCAGGCACATTAGTGGGGAGTTGGATCGGAAGAGGAGCAGCCAGGACCAAACCAGTGCTCTGATACCGGCTGCTGACATCACAGGTGGCAGCTTAACCTGCTGCGCCATGCCAGGCCCAAGTCACATAATTTTTGAGACTTAAGAATTATTCCAGGCTGTCAAAAAAGAATAATATAGGAATCTAAGTAGAATATTTTATCAGATGATTTGGGGATTGATGGCAGATAGCTTTCACTTGATTTGGATTGATTAAATAATGTTGCACTGTAGAGAATTCTTAATTTAAAATAATTAATTAACTTGAGATAGATCACTACCATTTGCTAACTCACTGCCCACTGGGGCTGGATCAGGTAGAAGCTGGGAGCCAGGAACTCAACCCAGCTCTCCTACATGTGTGTCAGGAACCCAGCTACTTTAGCTTACTGTTGTTGCCAGGATCCACATTACCAGGAAGCTGGACATAGGAGCTGGAGCCTGTTTTTTTGTTTTTGTTTTTTTTTTTTTAAACAGGCAGAGTTAGACAATGAGAGAGAGACAGAGAAAAAGGTCTTCCTTCCGTTGGTTCACCCCCCAAATGGCTGCTACAGCCGGCATGCTGCACCTATCTGAAGCCAGGAGCCAGGTGCTTCCTCCTGTTCTCCCATGCGGGTGCAGGGCCCAAGCATTTGGGCCGTCCTCCACTGCCTTCCCGAGCCACAGAGCTCATAGCAGAGAGCTGGACTGGAAGAGGAGCAACCGGGACAGAACCGGCGCCCCCAACCGGGACTAGAACCTGGAGTGCTGGCGCTACAGGCGGAGGATTAGCCTAGTGAGCCCCGGCACCAGCCTGGAGCCTGGTTTTAAGCCCAGACACTCTTACATGGTATGTGGGCATCTTTACTGATAGACTAAATGCCCATCCCAAAGGAGGATTCTGGGATCAACTGAGAGAAAGCTGGTTAATGGTTATACTTGGCATCCCTAACTTTGCAGCTGGCTCTGATCTCCAGGAATTTCTAAGTTAGGGTTATAACCTTGAGTTCCTTAGCTACTAAGTAGAATTCTGAATCTTCCTATATGGCTTGATTTTTATTTTGACTTACTTTTTAGGTTTATCCAATTCTCACACACCTGTGAGACCTCCTAGTACCTCTAGTACTGGCAGTAGAGGCAGGTGAGTATTTATTATTAATACATATTTTTTTCTTTTTATTAAGAAAACTTCAAATATATCTAACAAAATGAACACCCATATACTTATCATCCACCCCTAAGATATCTTACTTTGCATATGCTAATACTTGAAAATTCAAAAAAATCCTGAAACACTTCTCATGCCAAACATTTTAGATAAAGGATTCTTAACCTGCATGGGCCTTGTTTAGTAGATTCCTTAAGTGGTTTACTGTAAGTGCCTCAGACCAGAAAATGTATTTTTAGAAAGTCTTTTGGAAGTTTGATCTGTATTTTCAAACAGTTTGAATCTAGGTCAATACCATATTTCTGTTAGCCACATTATGAGGTGTCCTTATCTTCTATGAGGTTAATTGTTGTCTTCACTTTAATATGGTTATTTTCTTATATAGTTGTTGTACCATATTTGTGACCTTTATTTGTTGTTGTTAATTAGCTGTGGGTCATCAGGAAGAACTGCTGAGAAGACAAGTCTTAGTTTCAAATCTGATCAAGTGAAGGTCAAGCAAGAACCTGGGACTGAAGATGAAATATGTAGCTTTTCAGGAACTGTAAAACAAGAAAAGACAGAGGATGGCAGGAGGAGTGCCTGCATGGTAAGCACCCTTGTGGTCTGGGAAGGATTTCCCAAAGTCACTTCACTGATTCTTACGTCTCTGAGTCTCTTAGACTGAGAAGAGGTCCCAGAGTCTGTCAGCTTCGCGCCTGGCATACTCCATATACCTCTTCTCCAACTCGACTTTGTTGGTAAGAGGCAGCTGTAATCAGAAAAGGTTTAATTGTATTATGTACTCATTTGGAATTATCTTTGAATTTCTGTTTAGTCAAGTTTTTTGATTGTTTGTTTGTTTGTTGCCATGGTTATAAATCGGGTTCTATCGTATTCTGAATTTATTTATCATTCTCTGTATTCACATTGAATCTCAGGCCACAAAAGAGCCTTAGCTGTTCACCTGGTCTTAGGAGCTCAGCATTAATGTTGCTGACATAAAAACAGTTTATTGATCAGTTTATTGTGATGGGAAGATTGTCTTTTTGCTTACAAATTACTAACCATTCTAGAGCAAATGGAAGATTTCATAAAATTTAGACTATAGGATAAAGAAAGACCCACGCCTCTCTTTGTTTAGCAGTTTAGATTTTTGTTATTTCTTCTTCCTCAGACTGGCACGTGGGAATTTCATCTCAATGTATTAGCATATTTAATACTTTATAAGTGCGTATTTATTTATTTATTTGAAATGCACAGTTACAGAGGAAAAAGAGATCTTCCATCCGCTGGGTCACTTCTCAAGTGTCCATGATGCACTGGGCTGAGCTAGGCCAAAGCTCCATCCAGATCTCCCACATAAGTGTCTTCTTCCACTGCTTTCCCAAGCACATTAGCAGGGATCTGGATTGGAAGTGGAGCAATTGGGAATCAAATCTTCTCTGATAAGGGATTCCAGCATTACAGGCAGGGACTTAACGCACTACGCCACAATGTCGCCCCTATTTGTGTGTATTTTTGAGAGAGAACAAAAGAGCATGAAACAGAATTATCCTTGTGTTTGGAACAGTGTCACCTCTTGATACAGAACTTGATTTGGAAAATACCTCCATGAAAGTGGGTGCATAAAGGTGTGGAAGATTTCCTTTACATTGTCACAATATTCCTACATCAGTAGAATGAAAGGGGGATTATTATAGAATGCTGCTGAAGTGCCATGAGCAAATTCTCGTGTGAAAAATAGTATCCTATAATGAGAATAACCCTGTGCTCACTTCTGAATCAGTGTGCTTAGTTTAATTAATTTCCTTGTTATCTGAGTGAATCAATATTAGAGGGGCAGACCCCATAAGATTACATATTAGCATGCTTAAATAAATTTAAGGTTATTTTTATTCCTTTATGTCACTAAAATGATTGACAAAATAATTTTATGTCACCTTATCTATATGGATATTGACAGAACTTTCAAGTAAATATTGTGAAACAATAAGGATTAAATGGTTCTTCAAGAATTTGTCATTGTTTTGTTTTAGTTGAGCAGTCCTGAGAGTAGTTTGACACCACCTCTCTCAACCAACCTGCACCTAGAGAGTGAGTTGGATACATTAACAAGCCTGGAAAATCATGTGAAAACCGAACCTACAGATATGAATGAAAGCTGCAAACAGTCAGGGCTCAGCAGCCTGGTTAATGGAAAGTCCCCTATTAGAAGCCTCATGCACAGGTCGGCAAGGATTGGAGGAGACGGCAATAGCAAAGATGATGACCCAAATGAAGACTGGTGTGCTGTCTGCCAAAATGGAGGGGATCTCCTATGCTGTGAAAAATGTCCAAAGGTCTTTCATCTAACTTGTCATGTTCCGACCCTTCTTAGCTTCCCAAGGTACCAGTAAAATAATTGATTGTTTCTGTATCACATTTTCTTTATTCATTCATCTGATTTTTGTTGTTTCTTTTCATAGGCTAGAAACAGTAGGAAATTGTTCCAGGTGCATGTCCTTTACAAGTGTGTAGTATCTCTATAAAATGGGGAACCTCTTAGTTCTTTGGTATTACCTTCCAAACAAACTGTAAATAGAACAATAAAATGTCTAGAATCTTAAGGGTAACATTCACAATGAAGAGTACTTGTCCTCTCCTGGCTTTGAGTTTACATTTAGCGTAGGCAAATTAGATAAAAATCCAGAGAGCCAAGGAGATCAGAGTGTAGGAGAAAGTTTCTTTCCAGATGAAAATGAGTTTTTATCGGTTGTCATCATCTTTGTATGGTCTACAATTGTGATTTTATTTATGAATATACAATTCAGTTTGAGGCAGCTCTAGGGAGTAATACCCAAAACTTTTTTAACATTTTTAAAACTTTCAAAAGGCATTCTAAAGAAAAAAAAAAAAGAAAACAATCCTTTGTAAAAACACCCTCAATATCTTTTCGGTTTTTTAGGGGAGAGAGTGAGAGGGGAATAGTTTGCTTCTGTCCACTGGAAATAGTTGATTGATGGTGCCTGCCTTTTGAAGCACTCTGCAGAATTCTCAGGCTTTTCCTTTGATCAACTAGTAGGGGTCATTAACTTCGGATTGGACAGTTGCCGAATTCCTTATGTAAATAAGAACTTGGAGTAAAGATAAAAGAGTGAGGGAGATTATGAACTTTGTCCTCAGACTGATCCCATGCCTGCCAATTACAGTTTCAAGCATCAAGTCATTGATGAACTGATGAACACCCAAGGCGAGCTAGTGATACCAGCTGATAAAGTGGAGCAGATTTGCTGGGCTAGGTTAGTAGTCTTGTTGCGATTCTCTAGTGAGCTTTCGCAACGTGCTAATTTTCAGAGATCAGATTCTACATCTAAAGTGATACGGTTTTATTCAGAAGAGTTCCAGTTCTTCCCTTCCAGTTAACGTGTATATATGTAAATTTTAAAGAAATTCTTTAGACATATATAGTACATTTAACATTGTCGTCACCCTGCAGTGCAATAGGACCCCAGAAGTCCTTACTACTTACTTAGTGCCTATTTATCAAATTTTCCCCAGCCTTCTCCCCCTAATTTTATGTTTATGTTCACGCAATCTCTTATCTGATTGGTTTCAGAGACCACAGCATAGTAAAGGCATATTTGTTTAAGTCTTCCCCTTTCTCCTTTAATACCCAATTTGGTTTTTTTTGTTTGTTTGTTTGTGATTTTTTTTTAACTTTTATTTAGTAAATATAAATTTCCAAAGTACAGTTTATGGATTACAGTGGCTCCCCCCCCCCCCCCAATAACTTCCCTCCCACCCGCAACCCTCCCATCTCCCGCTCCCTCTACCATTCCATTCACATCAAGATTCATTTTCAATTATCTTTATATACAGAAGATCGATTTAGTATATATTAAGATTTCATCAGTTTGCACCCACACAGAACATAAAGTGTAAAATACTGTTTGAGTACTAGTTATAGCATTAATTCACATTGAACAACACAATTTGTTTTTAAATGAAAATAAACCAATACTGTTGTGGAAACTCAGCTTCTTTCTTGCTAGGATTTCCTCTGAAGTTCCTTAAGATGCAGTGATTTTAATTAAATGACGCTATTGTCTTTGGAAGATTCAACCTTTTGGATTGGGAAAGTAGTGGATATATAAACAGAACCACAATGTTTTTTTGAAGAATTGTAATTCTTACTAAATCTTAGGAAGAAGTTATTTTCCACAAGTGTAATCAAAGGCCTTCTTTTTCTTTACTGTTGCAGAAAAGAAAAGCATCGACACTTTGGTCTTGAAATTAAGGCTTTTCATATTTTTCTTTCTTTTTGGTATGTTAGGATTGTGCCACTGACTGCTTTCTTTCAAAGGCAGATGCTTTGGAAGGAATTGTTAACTGTTGACACATATAGATTAGTGAGTACAATCCCTAGATGTAGGATTTCTATCTGTCTGTCTGTCTGTATATTTATGTATGTGTATATAGAATGAGTATGAATAAGTCATTTTAGAATTATAGTTTGATAGAAATACTGATAAAAACAGTAGACAACAGATTTAAAAGATAAGAGTATGCATATGTACATGCACTCTAGTTTGCAGGTATGTATATATTCTAGTTTCTGTATGGCCATAAAAAATAATTCATTTATTTTTGGCCTATTTAATACATGCCCCCAAAAAAGTACAAAATACTTAAGGAACTCTATAGCCTATCCCCTTTTCTTTTGTGAATCTTGTCCATGTAATGATAATACTAGGGCCTCAGAGAATTGGTCTTAGACCTATGGTACAAGTACTTGTTCCTATAATGAGATACCTTTTTAATGCAAAGGTGTCATTTTTATATTGCTTTATAGAAGATAATCAGTTGGCTGCAAAAAAATTGTGGGAAGTTATTATCACACAAGTTCACCTTATGAAGATTAGACAGCTGTAGAACTCTCCTTTGTCCCCAAAAAATTAGAAACTAAAGAAAACAAACTAGAGAATTGCATCTAGTTAACTACCTTCTCTAAAGCAAGCTTTGTTTTAATTATGTGGACTGATTGTCTTGTTTATTTCCCTGTTTAGTGGGGACTGGATATGCACATTTTGCAGAGATATTGGGAAGCCAGAAGTTGAATATGATTGTGACAATTTGCAACATAGTAAAAAGGGGAAAACTGCACAGGGTTTAAGCCCCGTGGACCAAAGGGTAAGTATCAAATAGTTGACTTAGTAGTGGGAGTTCTGTAATTGTCTGCCTAGAACATCCTTTTTTTTACTCCTCTGTGTAGCATATACATAGCTTAATAAAATTTATTTTAATCTCATCATTTGATGGTTTTTAAGAACATGTTTTGAGAAGCAGAGAGAGATAACTCCCATCTGCTGATTCACTCCCCAGATACCCACAACAGGTATCTGTTTTGGGCCAGTCCAAAGCCAGGACCCAGGAACTCAGTCCAGGATCTCCCACGGGGGTAGAAGGAACCCAATTACTTGAGTCCTTACTGCTGCCTCCCAGGGCCTGTATTAGGAAGCTGGAGCCTGGAGCTAGAGCCAGTAATTGAATGCAGTTACTCTGATTTGAATTGCACGTTTATTAACTACTAGAGCTACTCCTCTGATGGTGTTTTTGTGACTTCTGAAATCTTTGTCGTTAGCCCTGGACTCTAGATCCTTATACCCAGCTTTCTCAAATTTAATGTGTCCCAAACTAAGATTTTCATTTCTAATCCTCTTCCTCAAAAAAAAAAACAAAAGGCAAAAACCAAGTAAATAATAATATATAAAAACCATTCCTCTCCTGGTATTCCCCATCATTCAAAGGCATCACCATTTATTTCTGTTGTTCAGGTGAGAAACTTATTGGAACAAGAATGACTGTAATCTCCCATCATTATTACTACCCTAGGCAGCAATCATAATTTGTCAACTGGACTACTGTACTCTCTTAACTGTTCTTCCTTCTAGTCCCCTTTGAGTCCGTTTTCTGCACTGAAGAGTTTTCTTTCTTTTTTTAAAGTGATCTATCACTCACTTGCTTAACTTCTAATAGCCTCCCTTCACTATTAAAAATGAAGTCTGAGTCCAGCATTGAGGTGCTGGGGGTTAAGCTGCTGCTTTCAACTCTGCCATTCCATATTGGAGTGCCAGTTCGAGTTCTAGGTCCTCTCCTTCCGATCCAACTCCCCACTAATTGCCTGGGAAAGCAGCAGAAGATGGCTCAAATACTTGTATCCTCTGATGCCCACATGCAAGACAAAGATGGAGTTCCAGGCTCCTGGCTTAACACCTGTTTTGGGGAGTGAACCAGCAACTGGAAGAGTGATAGCTATCTCTCTGGCCCCCCCTCCATCATTCTACTTTTCAAATAAATAATAAATAAATCTTTTTTAAAAGTGAAGTCTAGGGGACTGCATAGTGGCATAATGGGTTAAACAGCAACTTGCAACATTAGTAGCCCTGATGGGCAATGGTTTGAGTACTGGCTGCTCCACTTACAATCCAGCTCCCTACTGATATACCTGGGGAAGCAGCAGAAGGCCCAAGTGCTTGGGCCCCTGCACCCAGGTGAAAGACCCAAATGAGGCTCCAGGCTCCTGGCTTTGACCTGGCCCAGCCCCAGCAATTGTGGCCATTTGTGGAGTGAACCAGCAAAAGGAAGATCTCTCTCCCTCTCTCTGTCTATAATTCTGCCTTTCAGATAAATAAAATAAACCTTAAAAAAAAGTGAAATCTAAAATCCTTTCTCTTTACTCAGATTTCTGCTCATTTGATATGTAGTCTGATTTCCAAAGACAAAATATTCTTCCATATAGTTTTGTGGTCATTAGGGTTAAGTTTGGCTCCAATCTGATGTATATATTTAAAAATTCTTCCTGTATCTACAACGAGAAGATGTGTGTTTGGGTTTCATAAACTTAAATTAAAAGAAGCTTTAATAAATAGAAAATTGTAACATTAAAATATCTAAAATTGGGTTGAGAAGGCAGTTTTTTTGGTATTTTTGAACTTGAGTACAGTCATTTGAAGAAGGGGTAATAATGTTTGTCTTGCTTGTTTTGAGGACTTAGAGTGAGTTACAACAATGGGTGTTTTTTTGTTTTGTTTTGTTTTTTAAGATGTATTTAGTTGAAAGAGTGACAGAGAAAGGAGAGAGAAAAAGGCTGCAGTGGCCAGGGCTGGGCCAGGCCTAAGCCAGTAGCCTCGAACCCCATCTAGATCTCCCATGTGGGTGGCTGGCACCCAAGTACTTGGGTCATCTGCTGCTGCTTTCCCAGGCATGTTAGCAGGGAGCTGGATCAAAAGCAAAGCAGCTGGGACTCCAGCCATCCTCACATATGGGATGCTGACGTTGCAAGTGGCAGCTTAACCTGCTGTACCACACCAGCCCCCAGTGATTATTTAATGCCAGGTAGTCTGTTAATTTTTGCACAAAGTGCTTTACATTGCTTTGATGGTTTTCTTCCACTTGTGTAATCAAGACATACTAATAGATAAATTACCTTAGCATTTTAGGATAAAGGTACTCTTGCTTGTTTAAAATGGAAAGAAGATAGTCTGAAACTAAACAGAAAGGAAGCGATTTTCTTTTTATATTTATTTGAATGTCTAGTAAGTAGGAGGCTTCTGTCCAATTTGTTGTAAAAATATTCTGTAGTAATAAAGTTCTCATTCTCAAGACTATCTGGGGAGAAGACATTTCATGTTTTTCTTTTCTGTTTTTTTGTTTGTTTTGGGGGGGACCAGAAATGTGAACGTCTTCTGCTTTACCTCTACTGCCATGAACTAAGTATTGAATTCCAGGAGCCTGTTCCTGTTTCGGTGAGTCGAGTACTTTAATATGCCCTCACTGGTGAAGTAGTCTCATATGGTACTTAAGAGTATAGGTTTTGGCCCTGGACTGTGTTAAAACTCAGAATTTTTGAATAAGCTCCTAAACTTCCTAAGACTCAAGTTTTGTTTCCTTATGCTGTTTCTTACTTCCTTGGATTACCATGAAGTTATAAAAGATAACTTATATGAAGTATTTAACCTACGCATAGTACCTGATAACATACTAGGCACTTGTGTAATCATATATTTTATTAGTCTAAATGAATGTGACATTCACTTGTAAAAATTTGTTTTGCATGATTTTGTTCTGCTGAGAACCCAGTTAATTTCTTCAACCTTTTAATGTTAAGATAGACACAAAGTAGTAATAATGGAAAGAATAACTAGGAGTCAGAAGACTTGACTTAAGTTCTGCCATCAACCAACATATAACTGGGGAAATTATATACTTTTTGATTTTATTCTTTTAACTATGCAGTAAGAGTATTAGTCTGGATTATTTCTAAGATTGTAGTCTTGGTGATTCCAGGCTGTATACTATGAGGAAAAATAATTTCTTTGTAAATATTAATTTGGATAAAAACATACAGTTGAGTCTTTTCCACTGACTCTGCCTTCATAAGACTTCTTATATGAACAGTCAAAATTTGAGGAAAGACACCTGGGAAATTTTGTAAGTCATTGCTTTTTGTCTATCTTAAGAGAGAGGGAGACTTGGTAAGGAGGAAAGGCTCTAAAATACAAAAGAAAAAAGAGTGAGCGGAAGTCTCAGTGACTAACAATTGGGATAAGAATGTGCTGTCTGGGGGCTGGTGCTGTGGCACAGCGGGTTAAAGTCCCTGCCTACAGCGCTGCATCCTGTACGGGCACCAGTTTGAGTCTTGGCTACTCCACTTCCTGTCCAGGTAGGTCCCTGCTAATGTGCCTGGGAAAGCCGTGGAGAATGGCCCAAGTCCTTGGGTTCCTGCACCCGTGTGGGAGATCCAGAAGAAGCTCCTGGCTCCTAGCTTCAGATCATCAGCTCAGCTGCAGCTGTTGCAGCCATCTGGGGAGTGAACTAGCGGATGGAAGATTTCTCTCGCTGCCTCTGCCTCTCTCTGTAACTCTTTCAAATAAGTAAATAAATATTTTAAAAAGAGAAAGAGAAAGAAAAAAAAAAAAAGAATGTGCTACCTCTATTTTATTTGCTACCCTCAGTTATTGTATAAGATATTGCATAGCAGGCCCGCTAAAGAATGTTAAATGGTAGTTGACATTTTTCTTGGGTAAGCAGAGAGATGAATTTTAAACTGTAATAGATGTACACAGAAGGAAGATTTTAAATAATCATCTGATGTTAAAATGTACTCCCTCCTATTTAAAAAAAAAAAATATTTATTTTTTTGGAGGTAAAGCTGTAAAGAGGCAGAGGTGCAGAGAGAAATCTTCCATCTGCTGGTTCATGCCCCAAATGGCTATAGTGGCCAAAGCTGGGCCAGGCCAAAGCCAGGAGCTTCATCCGGGTCACCCATATGGGTGCAGGGGCCCAAATACTTGGGCCATCCTCAGGTGCTTTTCCAAGCACGTTAGGAGGAAGCTGGATTAGAAGTACAGCAGCTGGGACTTGAACCAATGCCATATGGGATGCTGGCACTATAGCAAGCAGAGGCTTAACCCATGGTGACACAATGCTGGCCCCTCTAGAAAGTATCTTATCCTCAGATTCATAGATTTCACAGTAGAAATTCTTTCAGTTGTTTTCTTTTCATCAAGTATTTCAATAGCTTTTCTACATTCACTTCTATCTGAAAGGTAGAAACTATCCACTGGTTAGTCACCCTTGCTGATTGCCTTCTTCCCAAGTCTATTGGTTAAAGACAGAATTTTGGGAATCTCTATTATAAATCAGTTGTGGAGACTGGCACTTACTCTGTAAATTTGGTTTTCACTATATGATTGAGGCAGAAGATTTAAAATACATTTGCCGTACCTCAGATTTCCAAGTCGCTGACTCAGTAATCAATATCTCTTTTTCTAAAAGTAATATGATGTACATTACCAAACTAAATGGTTAAGCATTTTTGGAGAATTCTTATCTATCCTTTTTATTTATTTTAGATACCGAACTACTATAAAATTATAAAGAAACCAATGGATTTATCCACAGTGAAAAAGAAGCTTCAGAAAAAACATTCCCAACACTACCAAATCCCAGATGACTTTGTGGCTGATGTCCGATTGATCTTCAAGAACTGTGAAAGGTTTAATGAAGTATGTTAGCTTCCAACCTATAGAGTCTTCCTTTACTCATTTTTCTTTGTTTGATTTTGGTTTTTCTGCTAGGTTTTCAAATTTAGTTAAAGTATTTTTTTCTGCTTAAGTCCTGTCAAAAATGGAATTTGTATTTACAGCTCCGAAGAAGAGAGTTTACTATGTATAATTGGAATATATATATCTAAATATAATGAATTAAAAATATTATTGAATATCCCTTCCTCAGTAAGTTGAGGGTTGGGCCAAGTATGGAAAGTTGTCTGTAGCTAAGTATATTTTGTGAGATACGATTAAAGAGAGCCCACATTTTGGGTACATTTAGGAAGGGTATCTGTACCAATCTCTTAGGGTTTTATTATTGACTCCATAAATGTAGAACCTTAAAATCATAAACTAATCTCTGGTGGCTCATTAGGATAGGACCCAGAATATAGAATGTTGAGTTTTCACTTTTCAGCAATCTGACTTTTATTTACTTTGGTTATGTAATTTTTTGAGAATAAGGATGAGCCCTCTGCACCTTAAAAAATAGTATGATGTACTCCTCTTTCAAGGAACTTATGTTGTGATACATTTTGGGTGAAGTCAAATCTATTATGTTATGCAATGTTCCTTGTAGAAGAGAATGGTGTTGAGTATGAGAATCTAAAAGTTTTTATAAAGGTTAATTCTAAAATTTTTTTATTGCTGATGAAATTTGGGTGCCAAATGCTTCTTGCCAAAATAAATCACACTGAATCCTTTAATGTCTACCCATCGTGCTTCTGGAAGTATCAGACAGCATTTTAAAATTAAAAACAAGTAATCCTTTTAAAGTGAAAAGGCTAGTCATCTTTATAGCAATAATGTAATATGCCACATAGTAAATTAGTAAAATCTTACTAAGTTGAATTTATAAAGTACAGTTCCCAACTTTTCTGTTTTTTAATGCAGTTAGATGTTTTCAAATATGTATGCTTTTGTAAGTTGACCCAAAAATTCACTTTACCTGCCTTATTAATGGTTAAATAATTTATGGTTAACATTTCACCATAAAGATAAAATTCTGATTAAGTTGCTTGTTGAAAGGTTGACAGCTTTTTAAAGCCATGTTTCTTTATATCACTGTTTTCACAAATATTTTTCTCTTGGATAGATTGATGTATTCAGACCAATTCCTACTCAAATTGACCTTACCTGTTTGAAATGCGACAATTAGATTTCACAATAGCTTTAGTGACAGTTTTGTTAAAAAAAAAAAAAAAAAAAAGTGCTTCCATGTTCTATAGAAGAATTTTAGAAATCACTTAATCTGGTTGTAGCAATTTGTTTTCCCTAGTATGGCTGACTTTCGTCACCAATCCTATACAGTCTCATAACTTTAGAAAGGATTATAATTTCCCTTTTTTGTTTTTGACTCTGGTATCCTTTTTAGATGATGAAAGTTGTTCAAGTTTATGCAGACACACAAGAGATTAATTTGAAGGTAAGCTTTTCAGACCATGCAAACTTGGTGAAGGAATATGCATTACCCAAGGTGAATATTCCTATCTTTTGCTTGCAGGCTGATTCAGAAGTAGCTCAGGCAGGGAAAGCAGTTGCATTGTACTTTGAAGATAAACTCACAGAGATCTACTCAGACAGGACCTTCGCACCTTTGCCAGAGTTTGAGCAGGAAGAGGATGACGGTGAGGTAACTGAGGACTCTGATGAAGACTTTATACAGCCCCGCAGAAAACGCCTAAAGTCAGATGAAAGACCAGTACATATAAAGTAAATGACGTGGACTTAAATCAGTTGTTTAAAAAGGAAGAAGAGGAAGAAACCAGAAAACTTTTAAGAGTTGCTGGAATATCCTGCCTGCATGGGCACCACCTGAAGAAGCTGATAGCTTCCACACAGTGTTAGATTGAAATGATGGCCAGAAAATACTTCTTGTTGAGAAAGGGGGAGAGAACTTTATATGCAACTATAAAAAGCAAAAATAAAATGATACAAGGAGTTCTGTTACTAACAAGGATGATTCCTCTGGTGTTAGAAATGGCAGATGTTGACGATCATGCAATATTGACTGGTGCAGGATACTGATGTACAAGTAAATACTTGAGACTTACGTTGCTTGATAAATTGTGTCTTTGGACTAGAGTGCACACTTACTAAAACAACTTTTATGCCTCCCCCTTCACACACATAAATACTGGGTTGTTTTCTAGGTAAAAGTCAAAATAGCTCAGATTCCACCTTAATCTCAGTGCAGATGTGCATTAAATCATGCCATATACTTTTTCTCATTTTGATACTATTGGGCCTTCGTTTTTAAATTGGCTTAAGAAAATCAAGTAATTTTAATTTTAATCATACTTTGCATATAAGAAACATGACCATTGAACATCATTTAATCAAATTCAATGGTATAATGAAATTAAAATGGTAACTTTTAGTAGTGGATCATATAGAATTATAGTATTCATTTCCAGAAAACACTTCCACACGATTACACTTCCCAATCAGATCATCTGATCATATAGTTATTCCCATGAAAGGCAGAATGTTTGTTTCAAAAATAATCTAGTTTTCTGTACATTTAAATTTGATTGAGAAGGTGACAACTGGCTCTTATCCAGTCTTCCTTCATATCAGTTTTCTGATAGACCACTATTGGCAAACAGTAATCTGTCAACTACCAAATGTGTAAAATTTTCTGTATTTCACTTTGTCTTATTTGTAAATAGTGAACTAAAACTTCTGGCAGATCAGCAACATTTGCTGAGCCTGTTTTTTAAGCTAATGTGTATTCTTACTAATGTTCCTATCAAGAATGGATTTGTAATATATGCTGTCTATTTCTAATGTTCACATTCATATTTTGAGGTTCTATCTTATTTTAATAGAGAACAGACTTCTCAAAAAATCTTCAGAAGCAGCTTATTATTGAAATATCAAAATATTAAGATAAACCCGGTGGGGTTAGATTACTCATCTGTCCACCAAGTGGGACATTTGCATGGACTGGGGGCTTAAAAGACTTAGAAGAGGCCTGTAAGTAAATTCTGAAAATGAGCCAATCCCCACTTGAATGGTTACTGGAGTAAACCCACCTGTACTACCCTGGCTACAGCACCTGAGGCAGATAAACCAACTTGGCTCTGGTTCATTTTTCTTCTCTTCATTTGTATGCTCAGATTCAAGATGTGTGTTCTAGACTGTGTACAGGCTTTTTTTGTTGTTGGATAAAAAATTTTAGTCCTACTTTTGTATGGACATATTAGAATATAAAGTGACCAAAATAGAATTTGCCATTAGATATTTTTCAGATGTCGGCAGATTTGTGGCAAGTTAATTTGCCTTTTTAAAAAAAAAATCAGCTTGAGCAATTCAAACAGTAGACTACTCAGAAAATTATTTGACGTAATTGTCTAAGAGGTAAATATTTTTAGTGCATATTGAATCAAATAAAGTTCTCTAAAGGCATTATTACACAGATTCTTTTGGATTGTTTTTCTTTGTTAACAAGTGGTGTGGGTAAACAAGAATACAATTCCAGGCCTTCTGATGGTGTGTTTAAATGATATGGATTTTGTTACTGCTGTTGACTTAACTTTATATCCCCTGGCTTCCTTTTAGCTTCTGTTTGTTTTGTTATAAGTTAAACTTTAAAATAAATTTACCAAACTGGTTTTATTTTACTCAAACTTCAGATCCTCAAGAGGAGTTTTTTTATAAGAGGGAGGACATCGTTTAAAAATTCTTTTATCTATGCCTATTTTCCACCACATCCCAGATTGCAGTGTCTAAGTAGACGGATGTGCAGGGCCACAGTTTGGAAAAGAAGATGTATTTAACTTTCTGTCAAGGCTCTGAGTTCTGATATTTTGTATTTACTCTTCAAAACTCTTAGATAGTAAGTCATAAATAGATTCTCCCAGATTGCAGGAGAAACAGATTTAATATTTGTCAGTGTTTGAGGCCTTACAAAATAATGTGTCCCCTTAACATTTTTATATTAGACGGAGTTCTTGGGTTTTGTTAATTTTGTTTGAGTTAAGATTGGTTGAATTAATTTAAAAGTGTTTTTATTATCAGCATTTACTTGGCTTCATTTCTGAAACAAGGTATTTCATACTGCTGAGGAATTACTTTTAATAACTATCAACAAACCACCATTAAGTGAAGGGATTCATTTTCATTAAAGCTTTTTTTTTTTTTTGCACACTGATTATTGTGCTGCTAAGCTATTTGTTCAGCTGTGACATAACTGCTTAAAAAGTATAAAAACTTAAATTGACATTCAGATATGTGTTTTCCTATTAATTGATGTTTTTTAAAAAGAAGTTGAGTATCTCTCAATCTCTGAAGGCAGGTTGTTTTTAAACTCCATTTCTTTCATATTCCTGGATGTGTTTTTTCACACTTGGGGCAGCTTATTCATTGAATGAAGGAATTGCTTTGCAAAGTGAAACATGGGAAAATTCCCAAATATGATTAGATTGCAGTCCATGATGTATTTGAAGACACCACCCCAATGCTGCTAAGGTGTGGAGCCCAGTGTCAGCATTCATTCTTTTGGTATTTAGATTCCTCAAATAAGAGAAGCTTAGGTAATTTTAAAAATCACTTAAGTTTACGACTTTTTATTGTAACAGTTTTGAGATTTCTTTTTTAGTTAATCCAAAGAAATAATGCTTGCAAAGTGTGCAAATTGTAGATTTATCAGTTACCTCAGCAGGCACCCCACCACGTAATTATTAGTGATTGATGTTTATAAAAAGATTCAGGACTTCCAACTGTGCCCTTGGATTGTGGCCCTACCTTGTGTTCGTAAGTGGTCTCTTTCTGAAAGGGAGTAGCTGCTGTGGCCCCCTCCCTAGTGGCCTTTACATCCTGTACCCATCCCTATTGCATATAACACATGAAGTATGAAAATCTCATTTCTTGTCAATCAGCACTGTTTATTTGCATACTATGCATTGGATCTGTGAGTAGTTGTACAAAAATCTGCCCACCCCACTCTCTTAGTTAAAATGATCAAGTTCTTAATTCATCCCATGAAATTTTCATTTATATACTATATTATCTGCTCAAGATGATTCAAGATTTTTCAAGGCATATTAAAGTTTGATCTTATACCAGACCTGGATGTTTCCTTTAATTTTTTTCTCATGGTTATCTCCTCCTTGATAAAGCAATAACACTGCTTTAAGTCTGTTGCCTAATAGCATGTCATAATCCTCTCCTGGATGGTGATTTTATAGGAAAGTTTGTATGCATATCACCTAGTCTCTTTTAAAAATTAAGAAATTTAAATGTATGCTGGAGGTAATGACAATATATGTGGCATTTTATTTTAAAAATTGGGGAAAGTTGAATATTTTTTTAAAAGTAGGTGTTTGAGTAAAAAAAATTGAAGGTACTTTTTTAACAAAAAAAATTTATATGCCACAATTTATGTAAACATTTCAGATTTCAACATGTACACTTGGGTATAATGATTTCTTTTATGGTCAAAATGCATGTCGTGGTCAAAATGCATTTCTTCCATCTTAGTTTCTTATGTTTGCCTATGTGGTCCTTTATATATATATATTTTTATGATATCTGCAGAACAAAATTATCTTCAAAAATAAGTTAATTTAAATATTTTTTGCCATATCAAATGCAGAATGTAAAAATTAAGTTTAGCCCTTTTCTAGCAGGTGATAGTTAAAATTGGAAATGCTCTTCTTTTAAATTCACCAAATTTATATGTGGGAAGGCACCAAAATGATTTTGTAAGTGCCACTGCAATATTCCCTTTCAAGTGTGGCCTAAATTTCAATATTTAGAATGAACTGCATGTCTGCTCCTGGTCTGAAAAATGTGGGCTTTTACTATGTTTTGAAGCAGTGAAACATGTACATTAGCCTATAAAAAAGATATGTGAAATTTGAGAGCTTGTTAATTTTCTATGTAGAGGTATCTCCACATGAAAGGGTTAAATTCACAGCCTTACTAATTCCTTGCTTCCAGTATTTCAACTGGTCTCCTCCCCTCATTATTATTACTACCACTACTATTACTTTTGCACATAGTTAAGTACCCTTCAACATGATCCTTAAAGAAAAAGTGCTGTTTCTGTGGTATTGTATTCTCGAAATAATCATATTTAATTTTTTTAAACAAGGTTGCAGTTTCTAATTGTTCTGTTCCTGTGTTTTTTGCTGGTGTGTAATGAAAGCAAGTTTTTTCTTTTCATGGTTATTTAATACATTAGCTGCCTGTAAATAATTCTTGTTATAATGCTCTGGAATGTGTTGTAGAAGTTGTATTAGATTAGTTTAAAGCCTTGTTTGAAAACCACATTGTTTTGGTTATTTCTATTAAATTAGAAAATTGAAAAAGTTTTCAAATGAATTTCTTTTTTTTTCCTTCTCTAAATTGTTACTTAATAATTTTAATTCATTAAAAAGATTATACTGCCTACCAGCACCAGAAATACAGTGTTGAACAAGATACAATAGAAGTTCCTGCCTTCATGATGCTGGGCTTCTGTGATATAATAATGAATGTTACGATGGGATTAACATGGTATGTATTTGAAATGCATGGTTAAGAATCTAACCCAACTTCATTGTCAGACAAGCAGTCTGTCTCGCTCCTAAAAGATAAGGCAATGGAGCAGGGATAGAGAATATAAAATGCAGAATCCTGTACGTAAAAGAGGACATCCGTGTATTCCAGGAACTGAAAGCTTGAGTTCAGCTGTAACAGTGTTAAGCTGGAGTGGTAAAATTCAAGTTGAAAAACTGAGCAGGGTCCTCTTCAAGCAGAGTCTTAGGTCAGACAGAAAGGTTTGGGACTTAAGGAGAGGCCAACGAGGACCCCTTGAAGGAGTCTTGTCAATGTGGGAGGATGGATAGGGTGATTTCATCGCATTGGCCCTTTTGAGAGTTTATTTTAACCCTTGAATGGACTTTGGAGGGCGTCGGAGGTGGAGAGAGCTGTGAGTAATCCAGATGGGCCTTCCACTAGTTGTCTGGCAGTGGAATGGATTATAGTCGATTTCTAGAGAGATTTCGAAATTACAACAGACCAATAATTGCTAGTACCAATCAAAATAAAGAGGAGAAAGGAATAGGCTATAATGATATGGAGAGGGGAGCGAGTCATTTGAGACTTGTTGAGTTTGAGGTACTCATGGGAGATTAAGGTACAGGTGTCTGTGGTTCTAATGCTCATGAGATATCTCTAAATATGTCTAGCATTTGACAAGCACTTAATAAAATGCTTGTTGTCTCATGTTGAACCATTAACTTAGTAAGTGGTCAGAGCCAGTTCCAGATTGAGAGTACCATGGGTGAGATGTATGAGGCATTGAAAGACCAATTTGAATGTAGACTGTTCTTTCAAACAGTTTGACTTTGTTTAGGTTATAGAGAACTTAAGGTCATGAATAACTAAGGAAAACAATGAAAATTCCTAATTGTTAAAGATGCATTTGATTTAGTGGGAAAGAATGCAGAGTTTGGCCATTGTACAGATGTTGGTTTGAACCCTAGTTTTAGCAGTTAGTATGACTTCAGTATGGACTTGCAGAGTTTCATGTGTGAAGATAGTCCTATCTGGGTCATGAAGTTAATAGAGATGAATTGAAATCATTTGTAGCACGGGATTGGCATACTAAGTTCTCAACCACCATGTAATTTCAATTTTATTTTATTTTTTTTTTAAGATTTATTTATTTGAAAGAAAAGGAGAGGCAGAGAGACAGGTCTTCCATCTGCTGGTTCACTCCCCAAATGGCCACAATGGCTGGAGCTGCGCTGATCCAAAGCCAGGAGCTTCCTCTGGGTCACCCATGTGGGTGCAGGGGCCCAAAGACTTGGGCCATCTTCTGCTTTCCCATGCCATAGCAGAAAGCTGGATCAGGAGAGGAGCAGCTGGGACTCGAACCGGCGCCCACATGGGATGCCGGCACTGTAGATGGCAGCTTTACCCTCTATGCCACAGCTTCGGCCCCTGAAAAAAGAGACAAGTTATAAATGTAATTTTTCCCTGTTTATTGATGAAATTAAAAAAGCTTTCCATACTGGAACTTGTCTTTCAACTGAAGGCTTAGCTCTTAAGTATTAATGTAATTTTACATTCATTTAATCAATCCTTGGACTTCTGAACTCCCTCCCAAGAAAACGCACGTTAGGCTTTGGATTCTTAGAAAACAATGAATACAGACATGAATTAGTGAGGTGGAACATCTGATGCAAGCTTCTGTTTCAAGCTCCTGGCCTCAAGCAGTGGCCGGTGCAGACATGCCACTACTCTGGAAAGGCAGTTCAGACAGAGGGACACCTGACAGCGTGACAGACTACCCCTCCCTAAGGGCCCAAATACCTGAAATACTGGATAAAGTCCATTTAAAAAAATTTTAATTCATCATGTAGCTAGCAAGGAAGGATACTCGGAACTGCCCTCCACACCTGTGTAGAGTGATTCAGACAAGGTGCATTAGGGTTCCCACAGACCCACGGGCTGCATTCTTAATGTGTGAAACAAGGAAGGAGATTGCTCTAGATAGAAGAGTCAGATGCAGTGCATTAACTTTGATTTTTGAAATTCAACCACTAAAGAGATACAGATGCTGCAGGAAATGTGTAATGAACTCTTACATGATACAAAACAGTGTTTCATTAGGTATGATAATGGTTTTATGTGCCTGAATCACAGCATCCTGCTTCTTTGAAGATACATGCCAAAATACCTAGAGATGAGGTATTCTGTTTGCCACCTCCCAGTGGGTAGGCCAAAATCTGTGTGTGTGTGTGTGTGTGTGAGAGAGAGAGAGAGAGAGAGAGAGAAAACGTGAGTGCAAATACAGCATAATAGCTGGTGACTCAGTGAAAGGCAGTCAATGTTCAGTGTACTCCTTCAGCTTCCTTTTAGACTTGGGACAATGTAAAAATAAGATTATCGTGGAATTGAACAAAAAAGCCCAAATCTAGAGAAATAAAGGGGCAGGTGCCCTGAGAGCCCTGCCGGTTCTGTGTCTGGAATGTGTTAAGCTCCAGAAGGCAGACCTTCCAGAACCTGGAACCTTACAAGATACCCCGTGAAAGAGTGCGCCAGGACATCCTACCTGGGGAGGAAAGCTGCTCCTGAGAGTTTGTGTCCACAAGCCGACAGGCCAGTTTTTTTTTTTTTAAAGATTTATTTTATTCATTTGTAAGTCAGTTACAGAAAAAGAGGTCTTCCATCCGCTGGTTCACTCCCCAGATGGCTGCAATGGCTGGAGCTGCGCCGATCCAAAGCCAGGTGCCAGGAGCTTCTTCCGGGTCTCCCATGTGGGTGCAGGGGCCCAAGTACCTGAGCCATCCTCCACTGCTTTCCCAGGCCATAGCAGAGAGCTGGATCAGAAGTGGAGGAGCCAGGACTTGAACCGGCGCCCATATGGGATGCCAGCACTGCAGGTGGAGGGTTAACCTACTGTTCTACTGAGCCAGCCCCACAGACCAGTTTGGAACCAAACTCATGCTACTCATGTATTTAGAAAAACTAAAAGTGGTCTGAGGTTCGAAGTGCTCCTGGGCATTTAATAGAAGTAAATGTTAATGCTGTCTTAAGGAAAGCACTAGAACTCATTTTTGAAGTCACAAAAGTGAAATGAATAAATCAGGAGAAACAGCAGAATGTGACCTGCAACGACAACAGATGTTGGGATTATTGGATGAACGTATTCAAAGACGTCACCAAAAAAACCACTAACAAAGCCATTTTGATATCTCTAATCTTGAGGTGACATTACAGTATTAAATTAGCATGACACAAAAAAGTCTTGATACTTGATGCCTTAGATTCAAAGAAATGCAATATGTGTAAGGAGTAGAATATAAAACAATTGAGAATGAAAGCCTTAAAAATGATGGAGGTATGGGATGGGAGTGGAAAGTGATCAAATTTGGAAGCAATGAGACATCTAGACAAGAAAGCAAAACACTAGGTAAAGCAAAAGACAGTGCATGAGAAGAGCAAGATGAGGAATTTATTATACAAAATGCAGTACAGAGAGGTGTGGGGGAAAAGGCATCAAGGACATGTTGAAAAGGTCAGTGGGCCGGTGCCGTGGCTCACTTGGCTAATCCTCTGCCTGCGGCACCGGCACCCCAGGTTCTAGTCCTGGCTGCTCCTCTTCCAGTCCAGCTCTCTGCTGTGTCCTGGGAGGGCAGTGGAGGATGGCCCAAGTGCTTGGGTCCCTGCACCCGCATGGGAGACTGGGAGGAAGCACCCAGCTCCTGGCTTCGGATCGGCGTAGCTCCGGCCGTGGCGGCCATTAGGGGAGTGAACCAACGGAAGGAAGACTTTTCTCTCTGCTCTCTGTCTCTGTCTCTCTCTCTAACTCTGCCTGTCCAAAAAAAGGAAAAAAAAAAAAGGTCAGTGGACGCATGATAGAGTATCAGACTGAAATGAGAGGGTGAATTGAATATCTGAGGACAAGTCTGAGAATTGTCAAAGTCATATGTCCTTAGATCTGGGGAGCTGGGAAATACCTACTGAGCTAAGTTCTAGAAGAAAAAGTATAGCACTGCAAAAACAATGGAGTGTGACAGCCGTAGGAAGGAACCACCAAGAACAGACTAACCATGGTTACTTTGACTGCTAATTGTCAACAGTGGAAATCAGAACAGAGTGGAATAATTTTTATGTGTGAGTATTCTGTACCTAATTTAATACTATCTTATTACCAACGTATCCTCATTAAGTGAACTTCTGGGAGTTTATTCTAGTAAAAGTCAAGTCAAAAAGAGACAAGGGCTAGTGAGAAAAAAAATGGTACATGAGGGTAAACTGAATGCCATAAAATTGTGAATTAAATAAGACACATGAATGAGCATGACAATGCAAGAAGCTCTCCTTTCCCACTCCCTGGAAAACGTGAAAATCCGCACAAACACGTGAAGCCTCTGTGTGTTACTCTGTGAGCAAACAGCAGAGGAACCACGCATTTGGAGGAACCCCGGAGTTGTGTGGGAAATGTGAGGGTGATATTTGAACCTTGACTGCTCCCTGTTCCGCCATCTAAGCTTGGCTATTGGAGATTCCACCCAAGACTCTCTTTCCCAGCTTCTAGTTGGAGGATTGACTTCCTGGGAAAAGCAGCATGTCTCTTTCTCATTCTGCGCCTGTGACACACCACCAGCCTCTTTGCCCACCATGCCTGGGCAAGTGCTGTGAGAAGGGTGGGCTCCCGCCTGGAGAACAGAGGCTCAACCTTGGGTGCGGCACTCTGAATACATGGTCACCCTTGCCTTGGCTCATGAGACAGAGGTTGCATGTCTGGAGAATTAAGCTGCAAAGGCCTCAGGCTGCTGCCCTGCCCACTCCACTGAGCGTTCAGCTTCTAGCATGGGCA